AGGAAGATAACAACAACCAAAAGAAGAGAGAACAAAACGGCCTCAGCTCCACTCTAGAAGGACTCGCTCTCCGACTCCTCGGACTCCTCAGATTCTTCTTCATCTTCTCCTCTGAGGCTTGAACTGGTTTCGATCTGGTCCAACCTCTGGTTAACTGCAACGAACTGCGTCTTCATAAAGGCAAAGCCTTCTAGGCCACGCCTAAAATCAAACAACAAGCTAACAACCAAGGCAGCAAGAGAAAACAACAAAGCACAGCCACCAAGCATCAACTACCAAACGGCAACAACAAACGAGAGAAGAAACGAGCTAACACCACGGAACGGTCGGCTTGCGAAACGGGTGACAAAGCTTAAGAGATAGGTTGCAAACGAGTTTTTTAAGGAATAAAGGTGTTCGACACTAGCCAAAGTTAGAGGAAACAAGGGTTCAAATTAAAGTGGTAAGAATGATAGGCTTGGACACAACGAATTTCAACACCAAAACCATTGGTTAACAAAACGAGAGACAAGACTTAGAGATAGGTTGAGGGTTCACAAAGGTAAGACAAGAAAGAAAGATAAGGTGATAGATAAAAGATTTACCGAAAAGGAAAGCTAACTTCACACCGAGCCTAACTCTTGCTCAAAACTAGCCAACGATCTACTCAAAACGAGACGGCTCAGCTAAGGAACAAGCCACAAACAAAAATTGACACCACAAGAACCCTAAACTAGATCACTCGGGATCACAGAACCAGGGTTGCATCTTCAACTGATCTCTGCTGACTTCTTCACCCAAAGGAGACAAGGTACCCCCACTACTTAACTTGAGCTCAGCATCTGCGTGAACTTGATTCATCACTTCCGACAAGGCGACATCTGCTAGATCCAAAATAAGGGTTGGATGTCCTTCTCTCCGGCTCTTGGGCTAACTTGGCGAAGGCTACCGACTTAACACTTGCATTAGCACACCACTTCCAACTCTCTACAGAGCAATGCTTGAAACTTCAAAACTTCCGGTCCGGATGAAAAGGTTCAAAACAGGAACGGTAACAAAGGATGATGGTAACTCAGGGGAAGAAAGCTCACAAGAAAAGACGCGGTTCAACGGAAAGGATTAGATCGAAAGGTTTGGGTTCAGAAACTCAAGGACCACGTACTTAGGAGTAGGATCAAAATCATCAAAGTTGCAACTTAGGAAATATGGTTGCCACCTTGCACAGAATCGTTAGAAGCGGGGAATACAAGAACGAGGTTCGATTCAAAGGGAAAGATCAAGGTGAGAGTTTGGGTTCAACAATTCGATGACCATGTTGATTAAGAAGAAGAGAATTGTAAACGAGGTTACAACTTAGGGAGTACGGAATCAAAACGAGGTTTTAGAGAGTTGCAAGAATTTCCTCACGGAGGGTATCCGATTTAAAACTCAAGAATAGCGTTCATTATGAAGGAAATCAAGATTTTCAAAGTCACAACTTAGAAAATATGAGGTCTCAACCTTGAACAGAGTCAAATCATGAAGGAAACAAGAACGGGATTTGAAGAGATAGGAAGGATTTCTTGAAAAGGGGCAAGGGTTTTAACGAGGGCAAGAGAAGGAAATCGGCTTCAAGAGACACAAAGGGTTCACGACTTCCGGCGAAGCTTCGGCTTGACGCTGATTACTACGTTTGTCGCACTGAAGGCTCTCTAGCACAACTCAAACGCGGCTTAACTCTTAGACCTTGCCAGATTCCTTCATAAGCTGATGACACCGCCAACTTGCACAAGATGATTTGGAAAGAAACAGGAACAAGGTTCGGAAGAAAAGGATCACTTGGCACAAAGGGTGATTAGATTTGTCTTGGGCTAAGAAGAGGTTACAAAGGGTCAAGGGTGACTCTCGAACAAGCTAACATCGGAAGCTAACACGCAAGGAAAGGCACTAAGACGAAGGAAGGTGCAACAAAAGGGTACACGAGCTTACTTAAACGATCCCCACTTGCATCTGCCTCGCGACTGCGGATCTTGCCTTGCCGAGGTCCCGACTTCGTACACAGATCTTGGATGCTACTTCCACTGAGTCCATTGTTGCTTCCACTTCGATGCTTACTTCCTGACCGGGGCCTCACACTACCAACTGTTTTTTAGCTTGCTGAAGTCTTCCTCTTAAACTTGCACTCGAAGGACCGGTGACCTTTCTTGCCACAAGCAAAGCACTCTATCGGTTTCCCAAGACAGACGACGCCGGGGTGGTCACTTCCACACTTTTTGCAAACGGAGCGACTTCCCTTCGCCTTGATCTTCCGGATTGGCTAGGGAGCCTTACCTCTCTTAGAACCATCTCTTTGAAAACTTCTTGTTGATCCGGCATCGGTAGTCATCAAACTCCCAACCGCAGGTGTAACACTTCTAACAAACTCCCTCTTACGGATTTCCCGGATTCCCTCCTGAACTTGCTGAACTCAGTAGGGGTCGGTTGCACAAAGGTAGGCTTCCTTAGGTTGAGCAGGATAGAACCGCTCGCGTAACTTAACCTTCAGGTCTTCCCAACTGAACTCCGGATCTTGCCTACAAGCTGGCCTTTCAAGCATCCACCACGAGTCCGCTCCTTGCCGAAGATAGAATGAGCCAACTCCACTTGACGATCCTCCGGGCAAACCACAGCTTCGAAGATCTTGTCAAACATCCGGATCCACTCGTCCAGCACTGCGGGATCCTCTTCACCGGCGAAGATCGGGGGACGGAGACTTGAAACTTAGCGCACTACGTCGCGATTCCCATTCTGAAGAGGGTGGTTGTTGTTGAGAAGGGCATTGCTCAGCTTCTGGGTGATCTGCGTCAGATGATGAAGCACTAGTACAGAAACAGTCATTCGCGTCCAAAGTTAAGGCTAATTCGCGTCCAAAGTAGCTGGGACGCAAATGTCGGGGACGCTGATTGTATAAACAACCAGCGTCCAAAGTAGCTTTGGACGCGCAAAATGATTATTCGTGAACTTTGGACGCAAAAAATGATAATTCGCGTCCAAAGTTCTTGAACTTTGGACGCGTATTGTGTTTATTTATTTTTTAAAAAATACTATACGCGTCCAAAGTTTCTGAACTTTGGACGCGTATAGTAAATAAAAAATTAAAAAAAAAACATTTTTTTTTATAAAACTACCAATATTTTCATGTACATCCCAGCATAACTACCAAATAATATATTTCAACATTAATCAAATATTTTCCTGTACATTCCAGCATAACTAACAAATAATATATTTCAACATTAATCAATTTAAGATGTACACTACACATCAATTCTATCAACTACAACACACCAATATAAAATTTCAATTCTAATAACATTTTACTACAAATAAACTACAAATTCTAAATGTTAACAATTAAAATAAACTATTAACCATACCATTTACAAATCAACAATACCCTCCTCTCCCCATTGTTTAATTTTATTAAAAACAATTTAAAATAAATAAATAAATAAACAAGTGCCTAGCAATTTTTTCAACATTGCATATTAGTGAAAGAACTGTTTTTGGTCCCAGGTAGGGGAGACATGAAGTATTCACAAACATAATCATAGAAGTACAAACCACTGAGGATGGTCATCCACAAAGCTAGCAAACTTTTTTGTTATTTTTCTTTTTGATACGTAAGTAGAGCCAGTCATTACTAGGGAGTACTTTGTTGTTTGCTTTTAATTGGTAACGTAAAAAATTGGATCACTACTCAATTTATATATACAATTCTGGTATAGGTGCAATGCTATCTTCTCTGTGTAGTTCCAATATTATCATAGACATCCTAGAAGGGGCAACTACAAGGACACAACTACAAATCAGAAAATTATATCATCAAACTAAGTAAGGATTCTCTGGAACTACTTTTGATTTCACAGAAATAGTTAGACTGGCAGAATTAATATGGTTTAGGAAATATCCTTAATTTAACAAGAGAACAGAATCACTATTAAAAGATTATCAGAGAAAGAGAAACCAGGGTAGATATCATCAAGATGGTACCATATCTTTCTTGAAATTCAGGTGTACTTTGTAAGAACTCTAGTCCTGGATGAGTTGCCAAAAGTTCTCGATCTAAGTACAGGTTTGAAGTCCTCCTACAGTAAAGTTGGTTGAAAGATATTATCATAATAAAGAGTGTTATAGTTCATCAGCTAAATATTTGAATTTGCATGCAAATTGTTTTCTTTGACAGTCACATTAACAGATCCTCTTTTTTTTTTTTTTTTTTTTTTTTTTTTTTTTTTTGTGTGTTAAGATATATTGAAGGCAAGAATGAGGCCTTGAGCCTTTCTAACAGAGATCCCAAGCAAATGCGAACCTGGTTGATGCAGAATATATATGAAAAACAACACAAATTTCATATTAACGTTCGATATTTCAATTAGCTTAAAACGAAGTAACACACTTACTTGTCTGTAAATATTATCCTCATCCAGCAGTTCTGCCATCCTCAAGTTTTTGCTACTGTTTAGTCTCAATTCTCTTACTACTTTCCTGTTTAAGCATGCAAAGCGATATGCCTTTGACAAATAGTGTTGTCATTTCTTTAGTTATACAAGTGTGAGGAATTTGGGAACGAAAGAAATGTGACATTAATATGCATTTTAACAACACTAAATCACGCTTGGAATGAAAGTAAAAGAAGAACCTGAATGCATTGATTCAATGCCTCCAATACCATCACTCGAAACTTTATGGTTGGTTCCTACAAGAAGAGTGCAAGCAATGGCATTTAAGTATATAATAGAAAACCATTCATGCATGGATTGCTGTTGGTACAATGGTTCAGAGCTTCAAGATCCATTCATGCATGGATTGCTGTTAAACGAAGACACGTATGGCCATGGCATCCAGCCAGTGCTTAACAATGCGACAGTTGATGATATGTTCCAACCAGAACTTAAGTTTGAGGATCAGATCACAGTCTCGGGATTTGCTGAGTTTTTCTCAGGAGGATTCAACGTAAGTAGCAACAATATAATGTATGATGAACTGTACCTTAGAAGAAATTTCAGGGAAGAATAACGAACTTCTAAGTTCTAATTACACTGTTAGAGATCAATAATGGAGACAATAAAACACGAAATCAATTATGTTCAAATTCAGAATATTGAAAGTCTGTAAGAAAAAAGGTCTAATTAATTAGCAGCTATTCTTCTGTATCTATCTGTACACATTCAAATGCAATAATTGGAGACCTTAAACTAGAGGCATATCTGATCTTTTGCATCGTTTCATTGAAGCATTATAAAAAAACAACCTTAAAAACCAGTCATTGGAATTCTTCCCTGTGAACAGAACTGCTCCACAGAAGAACAACAGCAACGACAACGAGTATAGTGACCGGTGTCCATTTCAGAGCAATAGTCTAATCAGAAAAGAAAAAATGTTAAACCTTAGCTTGAGCAGGGTTATGAACCTTAGTATCATCATCCATACATTCTCGCGTACCTCGAGCTTTTTAGACCCCCAGATTGGAGAATCACTCAGATTGGCTGCCATCATAGTCTCCAGCATATCTGGTAGCCGTGGTCAAAGTGAATTCCCACACTGGACATTATGAAACTGATGAAAACAGGAGCAAGAACATAAAGATTGAATAATGGTAATTATTCTCACCAAGCCTTCGCCTTCAGTTTACTATTTCTGGCAAGTCTTCTGCAATGACATCAAGATCTTTTTCACCAATTCCAGTTTTTAGCCTGGATATATTTGCCTGTGTCCTTGTATCAACATATTGCCTTCTGATATTACCAATGATGGTATTTACAAGGAAAAATGGTCAAATTCAGTGTTCTTTTCTGGCCTCCAACCACGATATCTCAGCATCAAGGAAAGGACCACAAGGAAGTAAACCAGTCTAGGTTGCCCGAAGGCCAATAAACTGCTCATGTTAGGAGTCAAACTTGTAACCTTGTAGTTACAAGTCAACAATAACAAGTCAACATTATCATTATCATATATGCATTATATGTACATGAAGACATCTAAGAGAAGACAGTAACAAATGTGATGATGTAGATACAAATAACAGTAAAGGAATAATAAGGGTGATGCCTAGATGATATCTAAACAGAATTGCTCCCAAACAAGCAACACCAACATATGGCAACACTGAACCTGATGATTTCCCTTTCCCTTTGAGGGGCGCAACTGCTTTAATGCCTCCTTCTGTTATTCAGGGCCATAGATTATAAGCAACTTTAACATTGACATGTTAAAAACAAAAATACAGTACTTTATTAACTCAAAAAGTTAAAGATCATCTTAGGAGCAATTTGGTAAGCCATTTGGAAAGTAAAGCAAAACAAGGGCACAAAACAATGTGCAAGGCTCTCACATCAAATCTAAACTAAAATAAATAATTAATAATAAAATTTCTAGAATATATTACAAATAAATAAAATTAAATTAAAAACTTTAAAAATAAAAAAATTCATATGTACCTTGCGGTCGACAATGCGGCAGGAGACCGGGGGCGACCTTGCGGGCGGCGTCGACGACGGGGACAGCGTGGACCGATTGCGGCGGCAGGGCTGGAGACCGTGGCGGAGGCGACACAGCGGCGGCGATGGAGAACGACGACACGAACGGTGGCGATGGAGAACGACTACACGAACGGTGGTGACCGATGGAGCTACGAGAAGCCGACGAGCGACAAGAAGATGGAGCGACGGTGGCTGTGGGGACGACAGAGAGATGGAGAGCTTTTTGGGGAAGAAGAGTCTATGGAGGGTGTGTATATTTGGGGAAGACGACGTTCAAAACCCTAATAAAAAAAAATAGAGGGCGTCCAAAGTATATGCCTTTTGGACGCCTATTAGTGTTCAACATACCAGGCTTTACATTGGGTGTCCAAAGTTACTCAACTTTCGACGCCCATTGTTTTATTTTTATTTTTTAAAAAAAAATTAATTATATAGTGCCATTTTAATTACAAAAATGCCACCGTCTCCCACATTTCGCGTCCAAAGTTTAAACTTTAGACGCGAATTATTCAATTTTATTGATGTTTTTTGTACTAGTGAAGGCTTTGAGCTAACTGATCACTGGTGACAGCTTCTGAAGACCTTGCACTACGTCTCGATGGTGCCATCCTCAACTTCTACAGCAACAGCGCGATAACGGGAGAGACTTAGGGCCCGCACCCTTACCTGGTGCCTTAACTACAGAGAACCAAAGCTAAAAGGAAAACAAAGCACAGAAAACACAATAGAAAATGACACAAGAACTCACAACCTCACCGTGCGTCCTAAAGTCCTAAGCCTAATACTTAGATTCTTAAGGTCACTTTAAGGTCTCAAACCACACTTAGCCACTTAGAAGTCTAGACTTAACCCTCCTAGGCTCAAACTTAGACTCAGATACCAACTGTAACACCCCCTTAAAAACATGCTATTTAAAAGCCTTAAACATGTAGAAAACTGAACTAAACAACAAACACAACGGAAGACTGAAAGATAGATAGATAGACATAATCCGGAACACGGGGTGTTATGCCACGTTCACCAAAAGGATGAACGCACCGGCAACATCTGCAATGTTTACATCTAAACCCATTGTCTCAAAGTTCTACATCTAAGCTGGCACACAGGCCAAAAAACGAAAGGGAGAAGCTATACTAGCAAGTACTAGACCGCGCACACGTCTAGACATCACCTGAAAAAACCCAATAAAACATGGGACGACGCCCGGTCAGCGAATAATGCTGGTAACCCACCAATACATGTGAAATATCATACATAGGTAAGATATAAGTTGTAAAGCCATTTTCGAAACGTAATACATAAGTATATAAGTGCAAACCCAGAGTAATCATCAACACAAGACTTAACACTCTCAACAAGAACATGGGAACACATCTCAAGACCGCAAGGACAACAACAACTCAAAAGGATAAAGACAAGACCAACGGCAACACATGCCTTTGTGACTACACACGTCACAAGAAAAGAACTCACAACAACGGCTACACAAGCCCTCGTGACATCACCCATCACGAGTTGATATGCCTTCCGTATGCCCGGTTCTAACCTTATGGCTACCCCCAACCTTATATCTAGTTCCAACCTTTACCTCCAGGACCCCTGTACACCAAGTCCAACCTTATTCCTCCGGGAATCGTCGTTCCCCCTCCAACAGTCCCTCCAACAAAACCACCAATTTCATAGTACACGAGGGTACCGTACACACACACGGCAACACATGCCTCCCATGAAATACGTGAACCTTACACAAAGGTCACAACTCCATAATCACGTCACGGCCACCACGAGGACCGCTGCAATACCTTGGCGACTAGTGTTTCATACCACTAATCGTGCAATCCAGGTAAAGCCACACACACATCAAACCTCAACAGGAATCAATCAACGGATCACAACGAAGGTATGAAACCATACTCAATCAAGGAATGGATCACAGTCCAACAACAACAACGATGAATAACACAAGTTATCATCAACCAATAGGAAGGTACAAACAACACACACGCTAGCATTTAAACACCGAACTAGCATGCTTATCAAACGGGTAAACCAAACGTAGTTCCCAAGAACACACAAGACTCATCACGGTTCAACGAAAGAAAATGTTGAACACTTAGCACGATTCATGACACCAAAACCTACATGGATTCCTACCATATAGTTCTAGACATACGAAACATCATAAAGACAATCAAATAGTTCCACAAAAGATCATCGGGAAGTCAAAAGACCAAATACCGAATCAAAAGGATCACGGGGAACAAATCCCCAAACAACAGCACCACACGTACCCGCGGGTAGGCCCACGGGTAGGCCTCTACCCGCGGGTACACCCCTGTACCACAAATAAATCCCTTCGGGGATTTTCAACTCCAAGCTCAAATTCAAGTCCAAAACATGCCAAATCTCACCAAATACAACAAAATGACTTTAATTAAAGGAAATGCCAAGCAATGGCACGAATGAACCCTAAACACAAGCTCTAGATATGCATTTTCTCAAGACAATGCATAAACACTCACATTTCATAGCAAAATACATGTAGAATCCAAGAAATATTCACATAGGTATGCAAAATAGATTTTGTAGAGCATGGGTTACCTCTTGTAGACTAAAGACTTCACTTTACACCTCAACAAGCTCCTCTCAAGGCTCACCTTCCAAACCCACTTCAAGAACACACCAAAAGATCATAAAGATCCTATCTTTAAGAAAAGACACCTTAGATAAAACCAAAAACACGAAATGAACTTAGATCTTACCCTTGAAACTTCAAAACTTCCGGTCTGGATGAAAAGGTTCGAAACAGGAACGGTAACAAAGGAGTGAGGTGTGTAGCTTTCACGGCTTAGCAAGTTTCTATCGCCGATTTGTGAAAGATTTTAGCACCATTGCTGCACCACTTATTGGTTTTCAATGGGGTGAAAAACAAGAGCTAGCTTTTAACATATTGAAAGAAAAATTAAGCTCTGCACCCATTCTTGCCTTGCCTACCTTTGAGGCAACTTTTGAATTGGATTGTGATGCTTCGAGAGTTAGAATTGGAGCTGTCTTAATGCAAGGTGGCAAGCCTATTGCATATTTCAGTGAAAAACTGAACGATGCTGCTCTTAATTACCCGACATATGACAAAGAGTTCTTTGCTCTTTTTAGAGCTTTGGAACACTTGGAACATTACTTAAGGCCTAAAGAGTTTGTAATCCATACTGACCATGAATCTTTGAAGTATCTTAAATGTCAAAGCAAACTCAATAGGCGCCATGCTAAATGGGTTGAATACAATAAATCTTTTCCATATGTTATTCAATATAAGCTTGGTAAAGATAAGGTAGTTGTTGATGCTTTGTCTCGTAGATACTCTCTATTGACAACTATGCATGCTTGATTTTTAGGATTTGAGCATTTAAAGGAGTTATATGCTACTGATTTTAGTTCTCAGGGATTTTATGTTGAATGTCAAAAGGGAGCTCATGGGAAATTCTATGTGCATGACGGTTTTTTGTTTAAAGAAAATAGATTGTGTATTCCTTATTGTTCTATGCGAGAACTCCTAATTAAGGAAGCCCATGGGGGAGGTTTGATGGGCCACTATGGCATTCATAAGACTTTAGATATTTTGCGTGAACACTTCTTCTGGCAAAAAATGAGAAAAGATGTAAATAAAATGTGTGATAGATGTATTATTTGTAAAAGGACCAAGTGTACAAGTCAACCGCATGGGTTATATCATCCTTTGCCTGTCGCTGAACATCCTTGGGTTGATTTATCCATGGACTTTGTTTTAGGACTATCGATAACCAAAAAAGGTCATGATTCAATTTTTGTGGTTGTTGATAGGTTTTCAAAGATGGCACATTTCATTCCTTGCCATAAATCTGATGATGCTAGTAGTGTTGCTACTTTATTTTTTAAAGAGATTGTCCGTTTGCATGGGATGCCTAATACCATTGTTTCTGATAGGGATGTAAAATTTTTGAGCTATTTCTGGAAAACTCGTTGGGGTAAGCTTGGAACTAAGTCGTTGTTTTCTACTACATGTCACCCGCAAACTGATGGACAAACTGAAGTTGTCAATAGAACTTTAGGAACTTTGCTTCGAGTTCTAATTAAAAAGAATTTGAAATGTTGGGAAGAATTGCTACCTATTGCTGAATTTGCTTATAACAGGCACACACACACAACACTACAGGTTTTTCCCCTTTTGAGGTGGTTTATGGGTTCAATCCCC